CAGTCATCGTCGTTCATCATCATCGGCGTCATCGTCATCTCATCATCATCGTCGTCGTCATCAGTCGTCAGTCATCATCGTCGTCATCGTCATCATCATCATCGTCATCGTCGTCATCATCGTCGTCATCATCATCGTCATCATCATCATCAGTCGTCGTTCATCATCGTTCATCATCGTCATCATCGTCATCATCGTCATCATCGTCCGTCATCATCGTCATCATCGTCATCATCGTCAGTCATCATCGTCATCATTCATCGTCAGTCATCATCGTCATCGTCGTAATCATCGTCACTCATCATGTCATCATCTCATCATCATCGTCATCATCATCATCATCGTCATCATCGTCATCATCATCATCGATCGTCATCGTCATCATCGTCGTCGTCGTCATCGTCATCATCGTCGTCATCGTCATCATCATCGTCATCATCATCATCGTCATCATCGTCGTTCATCGTCATCATCATCATCGTCGTCATCGTCATCATCATCATCGTCATCGTCATCATCATCATCGTAATCATCGTCGTCGTCATCATCGTCATCGTCATCATCTCATCGTCGTCATCGTCGTCATCGTCTCATCGTCGTCATCGTCATCGTCGTCATCGTCATCATCGTCATCGTCATCATCGTCGTCGTCGTCATCGTCATCGTCATCATCGTCGTCGTCGTCGTCATCATCGTCATCATCGTCATCGTCATCGTCATCGTCATCATCGTCATCATCATCGTCATCATCGTCATCATCGTCATCGTCATCATCATCATCGTCGTCATCGTCGTCGTCATCGTCATCGTCATCATCATCATCGTCATCATCGTCGTCATCGTCATCATCGTCATCGTCGTCATCGTCGTCATCGTCATCGTCATCATCATCGTCGTCATCGTCATCGTCATCATCATCATCGTCATCATCGTCGTCGTCATCATCGTCATCGGCGTCATCATCAGCAGCAGCCGTGAAAATAATCATCTATAATTGGAAATTTCCTGGGTTAGGTGGCGTAAATATGAATGTTTTGAAGCTTTCGTAACTGCAGGAATCCATAATCTTTGGTTCTTTCGGTAAAGTCACTTAGGTAGAAACATAAAATAAATTGTGACGTTTCGGGCGCAACACAAGCAAATCGTCATCAGGTGGGACAACCACAGCATTATTTTTCCTCCCTACGAGCCTTTACCGAAAGAACCAAAGACTATGTGAAGTTGAATGTTTCGTTAAACTCGCCGCAGCCGATTTAGTAAGGTTTGTCACGTAGACTAAACGTGCCAATCCCTTACGAGTTAAGCACTCCCCGGTTGTGTGTTTGAGAGTTAAACCCCACTAAAACATTTACAATTCTAGTGTAGTGTATAGTGTAGTGTATAGTAGTGTATAGTGTAGTGTATAGTGCAGTGTATAGTGTAGTGTATAGTAGTGTATAGTGTAGTGTATAGTAGTGCAGTGTATAGTGCAGTGTATAGTGTAGTGTATAGTAGTGTATAGTGTAGTGTATAGTGTAGTGTGTAGTATATAGTGTAGTGTATAGTAGTGTATAGTGTAGTGTATAGTGTAGTGTATAGTAGTGTATAGTGTAGTGTATAGTAGTGCAGTGTATAGTGTAGTGTATAGTGCAGTGTATAGTGTAGTGTATAGTAGTGTATAGTGTAGTGTATAGTGTAGTGTGTAGTATATAGTGTAGTGTATAGTAGTGTATAGTGTAGTGTATAGTGCAGTGTATAGTGTAGTGTATAGTAGTGTATAGTGTAGTGTATAGTAGTGTAGTGTATAGTGCAGTGTATAGTGTAGTGTAGTGTGTAGTGTAGTGTATAGTGTAGTGTATAGTGTAGTGTATAGTAGTGTATAGTGCAGTGTATAGTGTAGTGTATAGTAGTGTATAGTGTAGTGTATAGTAGTGTAGTGTATAGTGCAGTGTATAGTGTAGTGTAGTGTGTAGTGTAGTGTATTGTGTAGTGTATAGTAGTGTAGTATATAGTGTAGTGTATAGTAGTGTATAGTGCAGTGTATAGTGTAGTGTATAGTAGTGTGTAGTGTAGTGTATCGTGTAGTGTGTAGTATATTGTGTAGTGTATAGTAGTGTAGTATATAGTGTAGTGTATAGTAGTGTGTAGTGTAGTGTATAGTAGTGTATAGTGTAGTGTCTAGTAGTGTAGTGTATAGTGTAGTGTGCAGTGTAGTGTGTAGTATAGTGTGTAGTGTATCGTGTAGTGTGCAGTGTAGTGTGTAGTGTATAGTGTAGTGTATAGTGCAGTAAACCCACTACAACATTTACAATTCGAGTGCCGTGACGTTTCGCCGGTAATTACAACAACAACAACAACCACCAGCAGCAGCAGCAGCATCATCGGGCGACAGCCACAGAGTCGTAGAGAAAATCCTCGTGCCGTTTCGGTCTTAAGTAGAGTTAAGGGGAGATGTGATGTCCTCACTTGTCGGTCAATCGGTTGACATACAAATTAAAATGGTTACATGTTCTTACTCTTTGGTTTCATCGGTGAAGTCACGTAGGTATAAAATAAAATAAATGAAAACAACTCGATAAAATCACGACGTTTCGGACGCAACACAAGCGTCCTTCAACAGGTGGGGGACAACGTAGCGAAAGCGCAACCGCTTAAGTGTGTCTCAGAGATGGCTGTGACGAAAGCCTCCCGAGTCTCAACGATCGAACCTCGCGTCCCGACTCGCGCAGTATGTGCGCTCGTTATAAATCGGGGTCATCGTCTACGTCGTCGTCGTCATCGTCGTCGTCGTCATCGTCATGATCGTCATCGTCGTGGTCATCATCGTCATCATCATCGTCATCGTCGTCATCATCGTCGTCGTCGTCGTCGTCGTCATCATCATCGTCGTCATCATCATTATCGTCATCTTCACGAGCGTTGAGTTTGCCCCCCCCCCCCCTCCCCCCCCCCGCAGCAGATGGCCGCCTTGTCGGTGGCCGGAGACCTGCTGACGCTGCCCATGCCGTGCGGCGTGGAGAACTCGGCCTACACCTCGTCCTCTGCCTCCTCCACGGTGTCGTCCCCCGAGGGTAACTCGGACAGCCCCCCTCCTCACCCACCACCCACCCCGCCCCCCACTACCCACCATTCCTCCCACCACTCACCCTGCCCCCCACCCACCACCCCACCCACCATCCCTGCCCCCCACCCACCACATCTGCCCCTCACCCACCACCCCTGCCACCCACCACCCCTGCCCCCCACCCACCACCCCACCCCACCCACCACCCCACCCACCACACCCGCCCCCCACCCCACCCACCCCCCCTGCCCACCAACCCACCCACCCCCCCTGCCCCCCACCCACCACCCACCGCCCCTGCCACCCACCACCCACCCCACCACCCACCCACCCCACCCCTGCCCCCCACCCACCACCCACCCCACCCCTGCCCCCCACCCCACCCCCCCACTGCGACTCCCAACCCCCGTGCAGCGTCAACGTTCCCTGTTGTTGTTGTTGTTGTTTTACTTCCGATCGGCCGCCCAGTGGAGCCCATGAGCAGCAGCAGCAGCGGCGCCGGCGGCGGCGGCGGCACCGGCTCCAGCGGCGCTCGCTCCTCCATGTCCGTCGCCTCCTCCACCAGCGGCGCCTCCTCTCACCAGGCCGACGGCGCCGGCGACGAGGAGAGCCCCACGGACGGCGAGCCGGTGAGACGCGTGGGTGCCAGCGTGTGGGTGCCAGCGTGGGGGTGACACAGCGTGGGGGTGACACGGCGTGGGGGTCACGCAGCGTGGGGGTCACGCAGCGTGGGGGTGACACAGCGTGGGGGTGACACAGCGTGGGGGTCACACAGCGTGGGGGTGACACAGCGTGGGGGTCACACAGCGTGTGGGTGACACAGCGTGGGGGTGACACAGCGTGGGGGTGACACAGCGTGGGGGTCACACAGCGTGGGGGTGACACAGCGTGGGGGTCACACAGCGTGTGGGTGACACAGCGTGGGGGTGACACAGCGTGGGGGTGACACAGCGTGGGGGTCACACAGCGTGTGGGTGACACAGCGTGGGGGTGACACAGCGTGGGGGTGACACGGCGTGGGGGTCACGCAGCGTGTGGGTGACACAGCGTGGGGGTGACACAGCGTGGGGGTGACACAGCGTGGGGGTCACACAGCGTGTGGGTGACACAGCGTGGGGGTGACACAGCGTGGGGGTGACACGGCGTGGGGGTCACGCAGCGTGGGGGTGACACAGCGTGGGGGTGACACAGCGTGGGGGTGACACAGCGTGGGGGTGACACAGCGTGGGGGTGACACAGCGTGGGGGTGACACAGCGTGGGGGTGACACAGCGTGGGGGTGACACAGCGTGGGGGTGACACAGCGTGGGGGTGACACAGCGTGGGGGTGACACAGCGTGTGGGTGACACAGCGTGGGGGTGACACAGCGTGGGGGTCACACAGCGTGTGGGTGACACAGCGTGTGGGTGACACAGCGTGGGGGGTCACACAGCGTGGGGGTGACACAGCGTGGGGGTGACACAGCGGGTGACCGCGTGGGGTGACACAGCGTGGGGGTGACACAGCGTGGGGGTGACACAGCGTGGGGGTGACACAGCGTGGGGGTGACACAGCGTGGGGGGTGACACAGCGTGGGGGTGACACAGCGTGGGGGTGACACAGCGTGGGGGTGACACAGCGTGGGGGTGACACAGCGTGGGGGTGACACAGCGTGGGGGTGACACAGCGTGGGGGTGACACAGCGTGGGGGTGACACAGCGTGGGGGTGACACAGCGTGGGGGTGACACAGCGTGGGGGTGACACAGCGTGGGGGTCACACAGCGTGTGGGTGACACAGCGTGTGGGTGACACAGCGTGGGGGTCACACAGCGTGGGGGTGACACAGCGTGGGGGTCACACAGCGTGTGGGTGACACAGCGTGGGGGTCACACAGCGTGTGGGTGACACAGCGTGGGGGTCACACAGAGTGAGTGATGCGTCTCGTTGCAGACGGAGGGGCTCCGTGTCGGCTCCTTCCTGCCGGGCTCGCTGGGCACACGCGACGTGGAGGTGAAGTAACCGCCCCCCCACACCAGCCCAACCGCACTGCCACCCATCCCCCCCCCCCCCCAGCCCAACCGCACTGCCACCCATCCCCCCCCCACACCAGCCCAACCGCACTGCCACCCATCCCCCCCCACACCAGCCCAACCGCACTGCCACCCATCCCCCTCCCCCAGCCCAACTGCAATGCCACCCATCCCTCCCCCCCAGCCCAACCGCACTGCCACCCATCCCCCCCCCCCCCCAGCCCAACCGCACTGCCACCCATCCCTCCCCCCAGCCTAACCGCACTGCCACCCATCCCCCCCCACCAGCCCAACCGCACTGCCACCATCCTCCCCCCACCAGCCCAACCGCATTGCCACCCATCCTCCCCCCACCAGCCCAACCACACTGCCACCCATCCCCCCCCACCAGCCCAACTGCACTGCCACCCATCCCCCCCTCCCAGCCCAACCACACTGCCACCCATCCCCCCCCACCAGCCCAACCGCACTGCCACCCATCCCCCCCTCCCAGCCCAACCGCACTGCCACCCATCCCCCAGCCCAACCGCACTGCCACCCATCCCCCCCTCCCAGCCCAACCGCACTGCCACCCATCCCCCCCTCCCAGCCCAACTGCACTGCCACCCATCCCCCTCCCCCAGCCCAACCGCACTGCCACCCATCCCCCCCTCCCAGCCCATCCGCACTGCCACCCATCCCCCCCTCCCAGCCCAACTGCACTGCCACCCATCCCCCTCCCCCAGCCCAACTGCACTGCCACCCATCCCCCCCTCCCAGCCCAACCGCACTGCCACCCATCCCCCCCCACCAGCCCAACTGCACTGCCACCCATCCCCCCCCACCAGCCCAACTGCACTGCCACCCATCCCCCTCCCCCAGCCCAACTGCACTGCCACCCATCCCCCCCTCCCAGCCCAACCGCACTGCCACCCATCCCCCCCTCCCAGCCCAACCGCACTGCCACCCATCCCCCAGCCCAACCGCACTGCCACCCATCCCCCCCTCCCAGCCCAACCGCACTGCCACCCATTCCCCTCCCCCAGCCCAACTGCACTGCCACCCATCCCCCAGCCCAACCGCACTGCCACCCATCCCCCCCTCCCAGCCCAACCGCACTGCCACCCATTCCCCTCCCCCAGCCCAACTGCACTGCCACCCATCCCCCAGCCCAACTGCACTGCCACCCATCCCCCCAGCCCAACCGCACTGCCACCCATCCCCCCCCCCCAGCCCAACCGCACTGCCACCCATCCCCCTCCCCCCAGCCCAACCACACTGCCACCCATCCCCCCCCAGCCCAACCGCACTGCTACCCATCCCCCCCCACCAGCCCAACCGCACTGCCACCCATCCCCCCCCCCACCAGCCCAACCGCACTGCCACCCACCCCCCCAGCCTAACCGCACTGCCACCCATCCCACGCGACGCTCGCGAATCGTCAATCATCAGTCGACAGGGACGCGGCTTGACGATGCATTTATAATCTACAAGCGTGTTCTTTCTTCTTGGCTCTTTCGGTAAAGTCACCAGGTAGAAGGGAAGTAATAAAATAATACAAATAAAACATCATAAAATATGATATTATTATATCATTTTATAGTAATATATTATTTTATTATGTTTTATTTTCATATTATTATATTATTTTATGTTATTATATTATTTTGTTATGTTTTATTTTTATTATTTCCCTTCTACGTGACTTTACCGAAAGAATCAAGAAGATGAATCCCTGCAGTCATGAAAGCTTTAAATCTATTATTATTATGTTTTGATTTAAAGCTTCTTTCGTGACTGCAGGGATTCATCTTCTTGGTTTTTTCGGTAAAGTCACGTAGAAGGGAAATAATAAAATAATAAAAATAAAACATAACAAAATACAATTCTCACGACGTTTCGGCCACAACGCAAGCAGCCGTCCTCAGGTGAAGAACAAGTCTGTCGGAAAGACAGAGTCTGAATGAAAGACAGTCTGAATGAAAGACAGCGTCTGAATGAAAGACAGCGTCTGAATGAAAGACAGCGTCTGAATGAAAGACAGAGTCTGAATGAAAGACAGAGTCTGAATGAAAGACAGCGTCTGAATGAAAGACAGCTTCTGAATGAAAGACAGTCTGAATGAAAGACAGTCTGAATGAAAGACAGCGTCTGAATGAAACACCACCAGGCTTGGCAGCGTACATTTAAGCTGGGTTGGAGGGGGAAGGGCGCCTTGACAAAGGAATTTGCATATCAAGAGGAATTTAGCATATTTATGGCAAATGCAGATATGGGATTAGTCACTACTTGTGGAATGCGTAGGAGGTGAGGGGCGGGTCTCAAAGTCATATTATGCCCGTGCATTATGTAGGATCCTTGAAACTGATATTATCAGTGTGTTTTTTGTTTGCATTTTGACCACAAGTATTGTGGTTAACGCAGACACGATTCCTCGTAAAAAGGTTTCAATTTTGGTGTCAGAAAAAAGTGGAAAAACCCCCGTTATTATATTTTGCCACTTGCAAAGGGGAGGTCTAACGACGGATGTAAATTATCGTCACGGTGTTTTCCCGTCGGTCCGTGACCCGCGGAATTGTTTCCATTTTCCGAGCCGATCGCGTTGCCACTACCGCCGCCCCCCTCCGTCGTCACATGACCCCGGGTTCCGTGTCGCCCCCCTCCCGCCCCCCTCTCCAACTCCGCAGGGGAACGTTGTGGAAGTGGACTCGAGCGTTGAGGGTGAGTGGCGATCCCTGGATCCCCCGTGTGTGTGCGTGTCGCTGTCTCCACGGCAACGCCCCTTGCACCGCCCCTGGCACCGCGTCGCGCCGGTGACCTTCCAGATGGGCATCTCCGCGTTTCGCGATCCCCGCAGAATCGGCGGGTCGCAATTCCACATTCTCACGGCGAGAGGAGGAGGGGGGTGGGACGAGTTTCTCCGTGGGTCAACAGCAGAGGTCGCAACCGGGTACCCGATACCCGTACCCTACCCGATACTCGGCTACCCGTACCCAGCCGGGTACGGGTAGCCGTTTGCGACCCTGGTGCGGCCGGGTACGGGTAGGCCGTGAGTCACTGGTGAGTCACCGTTGGTCACTCATTTCCCAACGTCTTGTCTCTTCTCACAATTCAAGTTCCTAGAATCAACCCACCCGCGCCTGCAACATGGCTTCATCCCAGAGGTCGCAATCAGGTACCTGATACCCGGGTACGGCCGGGTACGGGTAAGGAATCAAAACCCCGATTTAAAGCTTTCGGGACTGCAGGGATTCATCTTCTTGGTTCTTTCGGCAAAGTCACGTAGAATGGAAGTAATAAAATAATGAAAATAAAACATAATAAAATAATTCTCATGACGTTTCGGCCACAACGCAAGCAGCCATCCTCAGGTGTTCTTAAGAACAGGTCTGTCGAGAAGACAGAGTCTGAAAGCTTCAGACGCTGTCTTCCCGACAGACCTGTTCTTCACCTGAGGACGGCTGCTTGCGTTGTGGCCGAAACGTCGTGAGAATTATTTTATTATGTTTTATTTTTATTATTTTTTATTATTTTATTATTTCCCTTCTACGTGACTTTACCGAAAGAACCAAGAAGATGAATGAAAACCCATTTGCAACCTCTGGTCAACAGCTTGTTGGCTTCCTCGCTGAGGTGCTCGGCACAACTGGAGCCACCGACACCTCGGCTGAATCTCGCCAAGGGGCCGAAACCCATCGTCACGCAAACTCCTCTGGCCATCGTCACGGCGGATTTTTGGCCGCCCATCGAACAAAGGGGGGGGGTCGCCGCATCGCACGGCGCTTTCAGACGCGCCTCTGCGGCCGTCTGGAACGTTCTTCCGTTCGATGTTAGGAAGCCACCGGAGCTGTGGACTTTTAAATCATCAAAACTAATTTCTTTCGAAATAATTTTTGTGTTTAGTTTGTAGTCCACAAAGACAAAGATCCCCCGTTTAGTCTTAACAGACTGTAACACCAGTGACGATTATCTGAACCGGTCCTGGGCCTCCTCTAGGTCGACTCAGCCTTAAATGAGTACCTGGTGCGGTGTGTAAACATCGCCGCGAGGGAGACAAAGGCGGTCGGGCGTGGTGCTGGCCACCCACCCCCTCGTGTACCGTTCCAGGCCTTCATAGGTGCTCGCTAACAGCACTTGCCCCTACAGTCTGTGAAGGCTACACGGGGGGGATCTTTGTCTTTGTGTCCGTGTGTGGGGAGCGGTGGTGTAGCGGTTAGCGCACTGCGCTACGGAACCTCGGAGACCCGAGGTCAATCCTCCCGCTCACGCTCAATAACAGTGGGGAATGTTTGGACGGGCCCCGGGGCCTCCCTTAGGTTGCCTCAGCCTCGAACGAGTCCCTGGTGCGGTGTGTACAACATCAGCACTGGGGAGACAAAGGCGGCCGGGCGTGGTGCTGGCCAACCCACCCCCCCGTGTGCCGTGCTGCACTTGCCCCAACGGTCTGTTAAGGCTACACGGGGGACCTTTGTCTTTTATGAGTAGTGCTGCTGGAGGCGGGAGGTGGAAGCGCCGGGCTGTACGAGGTGGACAACGAGTCGCCCGGACTGCGGGCGGAGCTGGTGGACAACGTCGCTTGCCTGCCAGGTGCGTGTGGGGCAGTTGCCACACGCAACCGACACACCACAACAACAGCAACAACAGCAGCAACAACAACAACCGCCGTTCACCGCTAAGTGGCGGTGGTGTCACACGCAACAGACACACCACAACAACAACAACAGCAACAACAACAACCGCCGTTCACCGCTAAGTGGTGGTGTCACACGCAACCGACACACCAGAACAACAACAGCAGCAACAACAACAACAACAACCGCCGTTCACCGCTAAGTGGCGGTGGTGTCACACGCAACAGACACACCACAACAACAACAGCAGCAACAACAACAACAACAACCGCCGTTCACCGCTAAGTGGCGGTGGTGTCACACGCAACCGACACACAACAACAACAACAACAGCAACAACAACAACCGCCGTTCACCGCTAAGTGGTGGTGTCACACGCAACCGACACACCAGAACAACAACAGCAGCAACAACAACAACCGCCGTTCACCGCTAAGTGGCGGTGGTGTCACACGCAACCGACACACAACAACAGCTGCAACAACAACAACAACCGCCGTTCACCGCTAAGTGGCGGTGGTGTCACACGCAACCGACACACCACAACAACAACAACAGCAGCAGCAACAACATTATTTTTATTATTTTATTATTTCCCTTCTACGTGACTTTACCGAAAGAACCAAGAAGAAGAAGCCTCCTTCTCCACAGAGGCCGATCTTGACACCGCTGGTACCAGTCATTGGCAAGTCCACTCAGCTCCACGTCCTCCCGTACCACGTCACTCCATCTCGTCTCCAGCCCGTGCCGTGCCCGTTTAGCCCCGCCTATTCGGCCAAACAGAAACTGCCTGGGCATGCGGTGGTGGTGCATGCGGGCTACATGACCCAGCCAACGCAGCCTCGCCTGCCGGAGGAGCTCGCTGATGGGAATGTGTCCAGATCTCTCAAGCATTTGTGAGCTTTTCGCACAATCCAGCCTGGTCAAACCCAGGATGGATCGTAGGCAGGCCAGCCTGAATGTTTCTAACCGGCGAAGATGCTCCATTGGAGAGGGCTCCACGTTTCTCCGACACACACAAAGTCAAAGATCCCCCCATGCATCGATCGGTCATCTGAGTCAGCAACCCATGGCACCTGAGTCTGTCCCGGCGGCGAGCATTCAGCACGTCACGTGATATCCTCCAAGTGCACCTAGCCTGGCACGAGCACTGCGGTGACGTCACTTTGTGGCTACTGCCACCTGGCGTTGTTGTTGCTGTTGACGATGTTGTTGTTGTTGACGATGTTGTTGTTGTTGTGTCCCTCAGGGTCTCTGCTTTGCCCGGAGGCCATGGAGGGAACGGTGGCGGTGGCGATGGTGGCAGTGGCCGGAGTCCCCATCACCAGCGGCCCCTCGGCCTGCGGGGACGGAGAGTCCGGGCCACTCCTCACCGGGCCCATGGCTGTCTGAGCCACACCGGGGTCACGCGGGGGTCACGCGGGGGTCACACGGGGTCACACGGGGTCACACGGGGGTCACACGGGGGTCACACGGTAGCTGAAACTAAAAGGAAACTTTGTTTTATTTTACCTGGGATGACCCCGCTGAGCTATAAAACTCAGAAGCGACCTGGCCCCACACGGTAGCTCAACGGGGATTGGCTTATCGCACGGACATTTGTAGCAGCCAAATACACGAAACTGCACGGCGATTCTAAATGTGAAGGAAAAAAACTGGAGGACCCGGAGAGAGAGAGAGAGAGACGCAAACTCAAAATATACAGCAGACATCGTCAGGGTCGGGATCGAACCCACGACCTCCTGTAGACCAGGCGAGGTAGTTAACATCTCCTAGCCACCGTGATGATGATGAGAGAGAGACACGCAAACTCCAAATATACAGCAGCAGGAGTCAGGGTCTGGATGGAACCCACGACATCCTGTACACCAGGCGAGGTAGTTAACATCTCATAGCCATCGTGATGATGATGATAGAGACACGCAAACTCCAAATATACAGCAGCAGGCGTCAGTGTCAAGATCGAACCCACGACCTCCTGCACACCAGGCGAGGTAGTTAACATCTCCTAGCCACCGTGATGATGATGATGAGAGAGACACGCAAACTCCAAATATACAGCAGCAGGTATCGTCAGGGTCGGGATCGAACCCGCGACCTCCTGTAGACCAGGCGAGGTAGTTAACATCTCCTAGCCACCGTGATGATGATGAGAGAGAGAGACACGCAAACTCCAAATATACGGCAGGCATCGTCAGGGTCGGGATCGAACCCGCGACCTCCTGTATACCAGGCGAGGTAGTTAACATCTCGCCACCGTGATGATGATGAGAGAGAGAGACACGCAAACTCCAAATATACAGCAGCAGGCGTCAGGGTCGGGATCTAACCCGCGACCTCCTGTACACCAGGCGAGGTAGTTAACATCTCCTAGCCACTGTGGCAACCACTACACTCACCACCACTACTCACCACTACACTCACCACTACACTCACCACTATACTCACCACTACACTCACCACTACTACACTCACCACTACAGTCACCACTACACTCACCACTACACTCACTAGCACACTCACCACTACACTCACCACTACACTCACCACTAGCACACTCACCACTACGCTCACCACTACACTCACCACTACACTCACTAGCACACCACTACACTCACCACTACTACACTCACCACTACACTCACCACTACACTCACCACTACTACACTCACCACTACTACACTCACCACTAGTACACTCACCACTAGTACACTCACCACTACTACATTCACCACTAGTACACTCACCACTAGTACACTCACCACTACTACATTCACCACTAGCACACTCACCACTAGTACACTCACCACTAGTACACTCACCACTAGTACACTCACCACTAGTACACTCACCACTACACTCACCACTACTACACTCACCACTACACTCACCACTACACTCACCACTAGTACACTCACCACTAGTACACTCACCACTAGTACACTCACCACTAGTACACTCACCACTACTACACTCACCACCACTACACTCACCACCACTACTCACCACTACCCTCACCACTACCCTCACCACTACCCTCACCACTACACTCACCACTACACTCACTAGCACACTCACCACTACTACACTCACCACTACTACACTCACCACTACTACACTCACCACTAGTACACTCACCACTAGTACACTCACCACTAGTATACTCACCACTACACTCACCACTACTACACTCACCACTACACTCACCACTACTACACTCACCACTACACTCACCACTAGTACACTCACCACTAGTACACTCACCACTAGTACACTCACCACTACACTCACCACTACTACACTCACCACCACTACACTCACCACCAGTACACTCACCACCACTACACTCACCACTACACTCACCACTAGTACACTCACCACCACTACACTCACCACTACTATACTCACCACCACTACACTCACCACTAGTACACTCACCACCACTACACTCACCACTACACTCACCACTAGTACACTCACCACTACACTCACCACTAGTACACTCACCACTAGTACACTCACCACTAGTACACTCACCACCACTACACTCACCACCACTACACTCACCACTACACTCACCTCTATACTCACCACCACTACACTCACCACCACTACACTCACCACCACTACTCACCACTACCCTCACCACTACCCTCACCACTACACTCACCACTACACTCACTAGCACACTCACCACTACACTCACCACTAGTACACTCACCACTACACTCACCACCACTACACTCACCACTACACTCATCACTACACTCACCACCACTACACTCACCACTACACTCACCACTACACTCACCACTACACTCACTCGCACACTCACCACTACATTCACCACTACACACCTGTCAACCCCTTATCAGTGCCCTACCTTACTACACACCATTTCAGACCTCATTGCTCACCCCGTGTCCCTTACGAAGTCCCATCACAAGGGGAGAAACACAAACAAACAGATCAAACAAAATTGCCCGTATTGAAACGGTTGTACGCCGTATGGAGCTGAACACTAAAATTCCCCTGTACAGGAATATGGGACTTTGTGCTTAATCCGTATGGGTTGAGAGGCTGGTCATGCCGGATTATTTTAGACTTTTCGCCCTCCCTGCCACCCCTCTTACCTGAGGCTGCTGCTGCTGTTGTTGTTGTTGCAATTAACACGTAGCGAGGTGTCGGAGCAGATCAAGGCTGCAGGCTTCTGATTCTCAGCACATGCACATCTCCTGTGAGGTTAAATGCGGTGTCTGCGTGTGTGTGTCTCTGTGTGTCTGTGTTGTGGGGGGAGTGGTGGTGTAGCGGTTAGGGCGCTGTGCTATGAACCCGGCGACCCGAGTTCGATTCCCGCCCACGGCCAACGCCGGTGACGATTATCTGAACCGGTCCTGGGCCTCCCCTAGGTCGACTCAGCCTCAAATGAGTACCTGGTGCGGTGTGTAAGCATCGCCCCACTGGGGAGACAAAGGCGGTCGGGCGTGGTGCTGGCCACCCACCCCCTAGTGTACCGTTCTGGCTTTCATAGGTGCTCGCTAACAGCACTTGCCCCTACAGTCTGTTAAGGCTATACGGGGTATCTCTGTCTTTGTAGGGGGAGCGGTAGTGTAGTGGTTAGCGCAACGATTCCCGCTCACGGCCAACGCCGGTGACGATTATCTGAACCGGTTATGGGCCTCCTCTAGGTCGACTCGGCCTCAAATGAGTGCCCTCTGTGCGGCGTGTGGGAGCATCGCCGCCGGGGGAGACAAAGACGGCCTGGCCACGGTGGTGGTGGACTAACAATTTGTGTGTCCGTACCGGCGTTCATAGGTACTGCTCGCTAACAGCACTTGCCCCTGCAGTCTGTTCAAGAGCTACCTGGGGCAGGGCACGTAGCATTTGATGTTGTAAATGGGGACCTAAATGATACGAAACAAATATTAAAAGACATTTTTAACTTGCATAGAAAAGTAATTGTATGTTTTTCGTTTGCTGCATAGACAGATAATACGAAAAATCGGTAACCTTAAACGCCCGGTCGTGCGTGAAAGTTGAAGGGCGGTATAGTACTATAGTAATAGAGCAAGTGCAGAATCACTGAATATGAATTGATATCTTGAAAGCGTTTCGCGGGGCCCTTGAAAGTGCGGGGCCCGTAGCTACTACACATGTAGCTGCTACTACACGTGTAGCTACTACTACACGTGTAGCTACTACACATGTAGCTGCTACTACACATGTAGTAGTAGCTACTACATATATAGCAGCTACTACTACATTTGTAGCTACTACACATGTAGCTACTACACATGTAGCTGCTACTACACGTGTAGCTACTACATATATAGCAGCTACTACTACATTTGTAGCTACTACATGTGTAGCTACTACATATGTACTACTACACATGTAGTAGTAGCTACACATGTAGTAGCTACTACATATGTACTACTACACATGTAGTAGTAGCTACATATGTAGTAGCTACTACATATGTAGCAGCTACTACATTTGTAGCTACTACATGTGTAGCTACTACATGTGTAGCTACTACATATGTAGTAGTAGCTACTACTACACGTGTAGTAGTAGCTACATGTGTAGTAGCTACTACAAATGTAGATATTTTTGCTGCTAGAATCATCCGCCACTGATACGGGGGGAAGGAGGGGGGGTATTTGTGTGTTCAAACTTTGATGTTGTACTCTAATCCTTCACCTCTTTCAAAAAAACAATATTATATTTATCACAACGTGTGCACCGGCGGTTATTAGATTTTAACTTATGTCAATCGGGTGGTGATGTGGATGTTGTCACCGTGGCGGGCTGTTGTAGCCGGTTTTGGGAGATTTAAAAGTGTTGAAAAGACGAAACTCTATGCGAGAGAATTTATATTTGGTGTAAGACGATGACGTGGTCATGATGACACCTTGAAATAAATTTCGATTTAAAGCTTCTTTCGTGACTGCAGGGATTCATCTTCCTGGTTCTTTCGGTAAAGTCACGTAGAAGGGAAATAATAAAATAATAAAAATAAAACATAATAAAATAATTCTCACGACGTTTCGGCCACAACGCAAGCAAACATACGTGACTTTACCGAAAGAACCAAGAAGATGAAACCTTGAAATAATGTTTGATGATTATAACTTCGCGTTTGTACCCATTTAAGTGTGTGTGTGTCATTGTTCCGTATGGTGCTGGTGGTGGTAGGGGGGAGCGGTGGGGCAGTGGTTAGGCTCACTATCGATTTGATTTAGGGACCGTCCATAAATGACGTCACGCACCTGGGGGGGGGGGGTGGGGTCAGATATTTGTGACGATGTGTGACGTCACATCAAAATGCGAAACTTTAATAAATACATATAGACACAACACGTTCTACTTATTCTTTGGTTCTTTCGGTAAAGTGACGTATAAAGATAAAATATTAAATTAAATAGTAGCATACGACGTTTCGATTGCAACACAAGCAATCATCATCAGGTATAAATGTAATAGAAACACAAATCTAGTATACTTAGAAATGTAATGTAATACAACAGAGAGTCGGATAACAACAGTCAACACCCTACCTATACACTACTACACACTACACTATACACTACACTATACACTACTACACTATACACACTACACTATACACACTACACTATACACTACACTATACACTACACTATACACTACACACTACACTATACACTACACTATACACTACACTATACACTACTACAACAGAGAGTCGGATAACATAACAGTCAACACCCTACCTGGTTGATTACGTTCTTCCTGAGAATGCTACATTTGAGAGAGAGATCAAACAGAACCAGAGACATATAGACAGACATGTAAGCAGAGACAGATATCACAGAGCTACATAGAGAGAGAGGTACATAGGCACACATAGACACTACGTTCTACTTAATTAAATAGACTTTTTAATAAATGTTTTCTCCTACAACATCAGAGTGCAGCGCCACACTAAACACGCACTACAATGACAATAGTTTAAAGCGATTTGAAGCATTTTTTTTATATTTTTTGGGGGGGGCAGAGCTTTGTGACGTCATATTTGAGGGTGGGGTGGGGGTCAAAAATCTTCCAAAATCTCGTGACGTCATTTATGGGCGACCCCATACGCGGCAGAGCCCAGGCTCTCCTCTGCTCGCGATCGAACGCCGGTTGACGAATGGCTTCTCGTTGTGTGCGGTGGTTGTGGTGGTGGTGGTTGGGTGGTGGTTGGGTGGTGGGTGGTGGTGGTTGGTTGTGGTGGGTGGGTTGTGGTGGGTGGGTTGTGTGGGTGGGTGGTTGGTGGGTGGTGGTTGGTGGTTGTGGTTGTTGGTGGTGGTTGGTTGTGGTTGGTGGGTGGGTGATGGTGGTGGTTGGTTGTGGTTGATGGGTGGGTGGTGGTGGTGGGTGGTGGTTGTAGTGGGTGGGTGGTGGTGGTTGTGGTGGGTTGTGGTTGGTGGTTGGTTGGTGGTGGTTGGTTGTGGTTGGTGGGTGGTGGTGGTTGGTGGTTGTGGTGGTGGTTGTGGTGGGTGGTTGTGGTGGGTGGGTAGGTGGTGGTAGATGCGTTCCGAAAGGAAAAAAAATGGCGCACAAAGAGAAAGTGCACGAGGAGACGGCTGCATGCCGAGTAGGGCAAACAGTAGGCACAGTACACACTGTACACACAGTACACACTGTACACAGAGTACATACAGTACACACACAGTGCACATACACAGTACGTACACACACAGTACATACAGTACATACACAGTGTAAACACAGTACACACAGTACATACAGTACACACACAGTGCACATACACAGTACGTACACACACAGTACATACAGTACACACACAGTACACACACAGTGTAAACACAGTACACACACAGTGCACATACACAGTACGTACACACAGTACATACAGTACACACACAGTACATACACGCAGTACACACACCACCACGCGACATCGCACAAGCGAACCCGCGTCGTTCCAATGGGCCGTGGCTGGTAGCTACTACTACTACACGTGTAGTAGTAGCTACTACTACACGTGTAGTAGTAGCTACTATTACACGTGTAGTAGCTACTACGGAATTGATAGCTTGTGAAAGCATTTACCGCGGGGCCCGTAGGAAGATGATACTATTGCTCCGAGTATAATCCGGCACTGCGTTGTACAGGTCCCGATTGATCGATATTTGGTGGAGATGGGGTGGGTCAAGGCAGACACAAAATTGTCGACGACTAAAAACGGTCCCAGACTACAACCAAGATATACAACCGAGATACAAGTATAACCCGTTAAAACAAAGTTTTTCACTATAAATTCCTTTATATGCGTGGCGGCTAGAGTCCTCTCGTCCTCTGGCTTGAGATGGCTGCCACCTATGGGTCAGATGATTGCATGGCAGCATTAAGCAATTGGTAATTAAATATTATATTTTTGTCCGAAAAAGTAAAATTTTGGAAACAAATTTTAACGAACATTAATTGTCACACACAACGAGTCTGTGTGAAAAATGTCAGCTCGATTGGATCATGGGAAGTTGGTTAAAAAACGACCGAAAGATTTGCACGGTCCTAAGCAAGCAAGCACGCAAGCACGCAAGCAAGCATGCAAACTTAATATAAAGGATTTTTTTAAAAAGCACGCAGCCAGAAGTAGCCCCCCCCCCCTCTCTCTCGATAGCAATCGCCACGTGTGAACCTACCACCCCAAACCAGTCTGATGGAGGGAGGTTGGACTGGAGTATGTAGTGACCTTTTGAGAATAGCTCGTCTCCGAGAACTGTTGGATCTGTTTTCTGACCTTGCCACTGGTTTCGCTGCTGCAATGAACGTCGTGTCGTCTGTGTGTGCGTGCGTGTTAGAGGGAAAGCCGGCGTTAGGAGGGTTGACACTGCGGGTTTTTAAATCCTTTATATTAAGTTCACTTGCTTGCACGCTTACGACCGTGCAAATCTTTCGGTCGTTTTTTAACACACTTCCCGTGATCCAATCGAGCTGACATTTTGCACACAGACTCGTTGTGCGAGACAATTAATGTTCGTGAAAACTGTTTTCCAAAATTTTACACTGTTTAGGGAAAACAAATTAAATATTTCGTTACCAATTGCTTAATACTGGCAGACAATCATCTGACCCATAGGTGGCAGCCATCTCAAGCCAGAGGACGAGAGGACTCTAGCCGCCACGCATATAAAGGATTTATAGTGAAAAACTTTGTTTTTACGGGTTATGCTTATTAATTGTGAAAGAACAGCTGCTGCTGCTGCTAAATAAACGTACTTTGATGATCAAGCCGTCTGTGTGTGTGTGTGGTCGGGATCGAACCCACAACTACCTCGCTCGGTATACAGGAGGTCAACATCTCCTAGCCACCGTGATGATGATGAGAGAGACACGCAAACTCCAAATATACAGCAGCAGGCGTCAGGGTCTGGATCGAACCCACGACCTCCTGTACACCAGGCGAGGTAGTTAACATCTCCCAGCCACCGTGATGATGAGAGAGAGAGAGACACGCAAACTCTAAATATACAGCAGTAGGCGTCAGGGGTCTGGATCGAACCCACGGCCTCCAGCATACCAGGCGAGGTAGTTAACATCTCCCAGCCACCGTGATGATGATGAGAGAGAGAGACGCAAACTCCAATTATACAGCAGGCGTCGTCAGGGTCTGGATCGGACCCACGACCTCCTGTATACCAGGCGAGGTAGTCAACATCTCCTAGCCACCGTGATGATGATGAGTGAGAGACACGCAAACTCCAAATATACAGCAGCAGGCGTCAGGGTTTGGATCAAACCCACGACCTCCTGTACACCAGGCGAGGTAGTTAACATCTCCTAGCCACCGTGATGATGAGAGAGAGAGACACGCATACTCCAAATATACTGCAGGCGTCAGGGTCGGGTTCGAACCCACGACCTCCTGTATACCGGGCGAGGTAGTTAACATCTCATAGCCACCGTGATGATGATGAGAGAGAGAGAGACACAAACTCCAAATGTACAGCAGCAGGCGTCAGGGTCGGGATCAGACCCACGACCTCCCGTACACCAAGCGAGGTAGTCAACATCTCCTAGCCACCGTGATGATGATGAGAGAGAGACACACAAACTCCAAATATACAGCAGCATGCGTCAGGGTCTGGATCGAACCCACCGACCTCCTGTACACCAGGCGAGGTAGTCAACATCTCCCAGCCACCGTGATGATGATGAGAGAGAGAGAGACACAAACTCCAAATATACAGCAGCAGGCGTCAGGGTCAGGCTCGAACCCACGACCTCCTGTATACCAGGCGAGGTAGTCAACATCTCCCAGCCACCGTGATGATGATGAGAGAGAGAGAGACACGCAAACTCCAAATATACAGCAGCAGGCGTCAGGGTCAGGCTCGAACCCACGACCTCCTGTACACCAGGCGAGGTAGTCAACATCTCCCAGCCACCGTGATGATGATGAAGAGAGAGAGAGACACAGCAAACTCCAAATATACAGCAGCAGGCGTCAGGGTCAGGCTCGAACCCACGACCTCCTGTATACCAGGCGAGGTAGTTAACATCTCCCAGCCACCGTGATGATGATGAGAGAGAGAGACACACAAACTCCAAATATACAGCAGCAGGCGTCAGGGTCAGGCTCGAACCCACGACCTCCTGTATACCAGGCGAGGTAGTTAACATCTCCCAGCCACCGTGATGATGATGAGAGAGAGAGAGACACACAAACTCCAAATATACAGCAGCATGCGTCAGGGTCAGGCTCGAACCCACGACCTCCTGTACACCAGGCGAGGTAGTTAACATCTCCTAGCCACCGTGATGATGATGAGAGAGAGAGAGACACAAACTCCAAATATACAGCAGCAGGCGTCAGGGTCAGGCTCGAACCCACGACCTCCTGTACACCAGGCGAGGTAGTCAACATCTCCTAGCCACCGTGATGATGATGA